TTATTCCATCCAAGCCACCATCCTATTGAATGGTGATGCCCATGCTTAGGGAGGGTCTCCACTTTGGTTTGCTATCCCACATGCCAATCATTCCTAGAAACACCCTCACTGACACACCCAAAAGCCTCTTAATCTTCAGCATCATTTAATCTAATCAAGTTGACAATTCAAATTAAATTAACCATTACACCATATTTTCTTTATCCATATGTCTGTGAAAAGGCACCTAGTTTGATTGTATGGCTTACTAATTGTGTATTGAGCTGCTATATACATTGTGTGGCCACATCTCTGTAGTTTGCTGATTTTAAGTTCTTTGGTTATATACTGAGGAATGGGATGTTTGGGTTAAATGGTGGTTCCATTCCATGTTCTCTGAGAAATCTTCATATTACTTTCCAGAGTGGTTGCACCAGTTTGCAGTCCTACAAGCAATGTATAAGTGTACCTTTTTCTCCATATCCTCGCCAACATTTGTTTTTGCTTGTATTTTTGATAATTGCTGTTCTGAGTAGTGAGATAGAATCCCATTGTGGTTTTGCATTTGCATTTTTCTAATTCCTAGAGATGTTGAGCATTTTTTCATATATTTGTTGAATCTTGTATTTCTTCCACTTTATTCCAATCTTAATTTGTCACACACACACACATATTCTATTATATATATGAAAAACTAAGAAAGGGTTAAAGCAGACATGGGGCTTCAGGAAGCTGAACTGAGAGCAAAGAGAAAGACCAGATGCAAACAGTCACTGTAGGAGGTAGCAGATAAGATTAAGAACCAGTCTAAGAACTTGCTCAGGGTGCAGAGCTATCAAATTCAGGAACTTATTCCAGAGCAAGGTCCAGATGAACTTCAGTTTCAGTGTATCAGCTTGAAATGGGAGCTTAGAGTAGGTCCTGAATAATCATGCTGGGCAGGAGAAGCTATGCCCCTCTGAATTCTAAAGACAGCTATTCAAAATTCATCCCTGTGGTGATTTTACTGTGCAAGACTCCTGATGAGTGACCAGGTGACAGCATCAGGATACCACTGTGTCAGGTCTTAAGGTGCTCCTTCTTTTATTGGCCTCAAGTGAGGGGATTGCTTCATTTGGTGGTTTGTTGTGTTTCCTAAGATCATGAACCTGTTTTTTCTGACACAAGTTTGGATTCACCCATGCACCCATGTGCTTCTGATTGATTGGAACTGAAGCCAGATTTAAAGTTAGGTAGTCAGTGTAGTTAGGTAAATCTGATCTAATATTGAGTAAGATCCAAAATGGAGGCCATGTTTAGAATGAATTCCGGGAAAAGCTGAACAACTCATGGAATGTTAATGAAGTCCAGGAAAAGCCCAAGGCCAGAGCCCATCCCAAAGAAGTGCTAATGAACAGCCCCCAGCAAACTTGAAGATGCTGACTCAGAAGTCCTTCCTGACCAGATTACTTCTTTGGCCCACCTGTGTCCCACCCCTTGGGCCTTCCCACCTACATTCCATCACTGAAAGAACTATAAAAAGGGGAAACAACCGCACTTCCACAGATTCCATCTCTTGGGACCCCTTCTTCCTCCGGGAGAAGTCTTTTCTGCTGTCCTTTAATAAACTTCTATTTTCCACTCTGACCTTGCCTCGGCGTGCTTCTCTGGTGTTATTCTTCAACATTGGGGAAGCAAGGACTAGTCACTGGTAACAGAACACCAGAGGTTGTTTTTATTACCACAATTAATTTAATTATCAGTTTATGCCTTATGGTTGTGCCAGACGAATGGTGGTTGTTTACTTGAACAAACAAGTTGTAGAGTCATTTTGTAAGGGGACAAATAGATGAGAATGTTAGGAACACAAACTTAAGAGAATAATTTTATAAAATAAGTCCATTGTGTTGATACCTGCCCCTGCCCAACATGATTTCTTTGCCAAAAAGCAATATGCCTATAGCCCTGCTGCCAGGGGTAAAGATCAGGCAGTCAGTGTAGGTAATCAAGCACAGGGTTTGAGAGAAGTTGATTACTGGTTATCAGAGAACAAAGAGTTGTTAACCTCTGTGATCTTGTTTTTGGGCACTTGGGGTTGCTAACAATTAACCCCTGTGTCCCTGCTCCCAGGCACATAAATGGAAAAGAAAGGATAGGCAATAATGAAAACGGAGGTCTGTAAAAGAACATACCCCCTCCCACAGACACCTAGCTCTGGAGCCTCTTCCCTTTGAAAAAGTTTCTATCACTTTCTTAAACTTGCCTTCATGTTTCTAAAGCCAGATTTAAAGATAGGTAGTTAGTGTAGTTAGGTAAATCGGGTCTAATATTGAGTAAGATAAATAAAATGGAGGCCATTATTGAGAATGGAATCCAGGAAATCAGAGCAGCGCTTGGGGAAATTGAAATGTTAATGTCCTCAAGCCCCAGAGTCCATCCTAAGGAAATGTTAATGAAGCAGCTCCCAGCAAACGTGGAGATGCTAATCCAAAAGCCCCCCCAGGCTCTTCCTTCCCAGATTACTCCTTCAGCCCACCTATCTCCCACCTTTTGGGCCTTCCCACCTGCATTTTATCACTGCAAGATAACAAGGGACAGGAGTGTGGGAAAGCTGAAAGAAGACCTCAATTATAAAAGAGGGAAGACCTCCCCCTTCCATGGATTTGCCTTTTGGGTCCCCTTCTTCCTCCAGGGAGAAGTCTTTTCTGCTGTCCTTTAAGAAAGCTTCTACTTTCCACTCTACACTTGCCTCAGCGTGCTTCTCTGGTGTTATACTTAAGCATTCGGGGAAGCAAGGACTCACTGTTAAAGAGTGGTAACATTTCTTGGGTGGTTATTCTCCAATATGGGGGAACAAGAACCCATTCCTGGTCTCCAAGACCAGTATCACTTCCACCTTAGCACTTAAAACAGAGCAGCTTTTGGCAAACTGCTGCTTTACAAAATTGAGTAATTCAAATGTAAGTATAGTCTGAGAATTACTGGTCTATGCATCATGTAGTAACTCAGCCGAGCACAGCCTACTCTTCACATTTTCTAACTTGAATTTTATATTAAAAACAGTTTCTAAAGTTTTTTTTTTTTTTTTCCAATTTGTTTCTCCATTATTGCCCTGAAATAAATCCAGTAAAAGCAAGACAAGAGAGAGGAAAAATTTCCACCTGGAGGAAAGACAAAGAATGGAGTTCATTCAGAAATTTGTCCTTTTGATAATTTAGCCATTGGGATAATTGACTTTTACTGAATTAGCTCAAAGGGAATTGGCTGTCTTTCTACAACTTTAGCTTCTAAAACTGAAAGTTTCCTACTGACTTTCATAGGAGAGAAAATTTGTTTTCTCTTGACTGTGAAGTTCCTATAAAACTATAGAATACAATCTTGCCAGAGAAAGAAAAACTATTCAAAACAAAGGTCATTGTACCTTTTTCATGCTTTTTACAATTGTTAAATATGCAACTACATTAGTTAAGTGGGACAGAAGTTAAGCAGACAGTATAATGGGACTCTTGAATATAAGTGAAATTATTTGTGCTAGAAATGATAATTCTCTGAGAGCAGTCTAACAAATCCCAGTATAAATAAGGATGGTTGTAGAGCTGAGTTAAAAGAATCATTTCTGTTTTCAAGGATTTCTTTCTTAAGTTTGCAAGAGAAAATACTTCTGGTGGATTGACAGCACTAAGCTATGTAGTCACGCTGAGCCTTTCAGAGAATAGCAGCTGTTGGTCAGAATAAGAGAAATGTAAAGTCAGACTATAATCAGAATTTGGCCTGTGATAACTCAGGATTGAAAACCTACTTTGGGAAGGTAAAACTAGATATTATGAAGTGGGAGTATTCAAATTTAAACAACTGGCCCATTTTCTTCTTTTCTGGAAGTCTATTTCCCACACATGAGTGTTGATAATGTCAGAAATTTAGACTGGACTTCTGTTACTTTGCATATTTACCACATTGTCGAAGAGTTATTTAAAAATTTACAAAAATAAATTTGTTTGGAGAATTTGTGTTGCTAATGTAATGAAGAGATGACTAAAAATATTAACTTATCTGTTGATAATGATTTTAAAATGAAATGTTGTTAAAACTAAGTATAAAACCACTTATTTTCACAAATATTCAAGTAGTTTTCCAGATGTATCTGCTCTCTCTTTTCATATGGGATCAAAATTCAAGAGATAAACAGGACATTCAGTAGTCAGATTCTTCTGGGTCCATCATTGGCACATAATACAAGAACTACAATAAGGAAGAGGAAGATGAGCTGCATCAGAAAAGTTACTGAAGGGCTGAAGTGAAAGAGTTCAACTGAATATCATGTACTGGGAACTATTAATCAGTAATGATGCCATTACTAGACTCTATCCATGCAGGAATCTAGCGATTGATGTTAATGTAGACAAATGACAGGTATCCAGAGGGTCCTAAACCATCTCTTGAGAATTTTCTAAATTATGCTGAAATCAATTCCAAGCTATTTGGAAGGAACAAAAAGGTTATTTTCATCAGATATTACATTACTATTCTTGTGACATAGTGACTTGGTCCTTGCAATCTGCAGAACCCTTAAGAAAATAAGCATTAGGAGATCCAACATGGCGGCCGGCAAGGAAGCAGCACTTTCAGTATCTCCACATTAACAGGATCAGAAACACCCATTAAAACAGCTACATTCTACCTACTGAGGAACTTCTAGCAAAATTCCGCTGAAAGGAGACCTGCCAGGAATTAGTAAGTTATATTAGAGGTGACAGTTGGCCCCAGGCAAGTGAATCTTGGCCGGCCACGCGGGCGCAGAGGTCCAATCCCGCAGCCACCACCCAACCGGCTCTGCAAGCGGCGGCCCGGGGCAGCAGTGAGAAGGGTCCCCGCCTAGCCCGGCAGACGGCTCCCACCATCCCGGCTCTCCTGGCGGCCCCGCTCGCTCTGTGATCGGCCACCCCGCCCACCCGGCTCTTAGCCACGAGGCCGCTGCCTATCAAGTTCTACAAGCGGCCCCCAGCGGCCGGCGCGGCGAGAAGGGTCCCCGCCGGGCCTGGCAAATGGCCTGCGCCCTCCTGGCTCTGCTAACGCACCCCCCCCCTGCCCTCCCGGCTCTGCTGGCAGCCCCGCCCCTGGCCGGCTCTGCAGGCGGCCCCCGGCAGCCCGAACAGCGAGAAGGGTCCCCGCCTGGCCCAGCAGACAGCCTGTGCCCTCCCGGCTCTGATAATGCCCCGCCCGCACGGCTAATGGCCCCCTGCCCGCCCGGCTCTGCAAACGGCCCCGCCCACCTGGCAAACGGCCCCCCCTCCACCCTCCGGGCTCTGCTGGTGCTCTGCCCGCGTCCAGCGCCGGGCGGCTCTGCAGGCAGCCCCCAGCGGCCCCGTGCGGTGAGAAGGGTCCCCGCCCGGCAGACGGCCTGTGCCCTCCGGGCTCTGCTAACGGCCCCGCCCACCCGGCAAATGGCTCCCCCCCCTGAGAGGACGTGAAGGAAATCTAACCAAGCCTTTATGAAATAGCAAACTGGGAACTAAAACCAGAGATTGTGTCAGACCAGAGACAAGCCAGTTCCACCCCTCCCTTCAGACACTCCAGCAAGGAGGCAGGAGCCCGCCATAGCAGAGAGGGGAAGTCACCAAAGTTCAGCCAAAGAGATTCCTTCCCAGTGGAATCTACTTTAGCAAGTGTGTGACTCCCACCCACATCAGATACAAACAACCGGGAAATTTCAAAATCTCTCCATGGGTGTGACCATAAGGGCCAAAGGACTCTCGACCCCCAACTCCCAATACTGCCAGTGACGTGGGCGTGACTGTAGGGGCGGACCCCAACTCCCCCAACCGCCAACTGAGAGGGCGTGACGGTAGGGGAGGAGGCGTGACGGTAGGGGAGGAGGGAAACAGAGGACACTCCAGACCCCCAACTCCTCCTACCGCCAGCGGAGTGGTCGTGATTGTAGGGGCTGAGGGAAGCAGAGGGGATTCTCGACCCCCAACTCCCATTACCACCAGTGGCGACACCAATGGTCTTAGCCGCCAGACTCCAAAGGTGTGCCCACCAAAGGGGTCCGGAAAAATTAAACTATTGACTCCCAGAACACAGCTCCACAGCACTGGGGCTTAGATGAATGACAGAGAGAGTGCTCAGTCATTAGGGAAATAGAGCACTCGGAGGGGCTGAAAGTGTAACCAAATCCTTGGAGAACCTCCTCCGGTGCACAGGACCTGGCTGGCTGGCAGGAGGAAGGGGAGGAGGGGCCGTAGAAGTGAAATGGCTCTGGACCAACAGGATCGAAAGACTCCCAGGAGCCACCTTACAGGGATTGCTCTTCACACATTGAGGGCAAATCTCAGCCTGGAGGGCACAGCTTTGCCTACGGGAAGAGAAGAAAATGGATCTCTAAGACCTAATTTTATTTCTTATTTTATTTTATTTTTTCTCTCCCTTTTTCCCTCTTTCTCTCCCCTTCCAAGTTTTATTGTTCTTTCCATTCTCCTCTATGCTATCTAACTCCCCCTCCTTCTTTCTTTTCAAGAGCACCTTCCTTCCCCTTCCCCCCAACTTTCATCCCAAGCATTACATCCTCCATTTCGTGTAACTGTCTAAATGCAAACAGGTGAATGTTTCGAGGCCATCTATAGTGCTACTAAATACCTAGCTACTACCAACACCCTGATCCAATTGACGGTTAGCATCCCCCTTCAGTAGAGCAATCTTCTAAAGTAGCCAAGACATATTAACCCTTATACCTTCATAGCACCTAACCTAAAGTCCTAAGAACAAAAAACAAATCACTATATGCATACAAAATCCGGAAGCCCTTTATAAGTTGAATGAATCAGCTCTAAAGTACAATAAAGCCCAACATCTATAGGCATAATCTCCCACCAAAAAGGAGAGACAACAGATACAAAGCCAAAACAAATGTATAGGAGAAAGCAGTTACAAAGCAGTCAAACAGAGCAGGAAAGTAACGTGAACAACATGAAAAAACAAGGGAAAAAAGGATTACAGATAATGCAGGACAACTTAAATCTACAGGAGGACCTAGAAGCATCAGAAATATGGAAAGGGAAAGAAATCAAGGCATACCTAACTCAGATGGAACGGAATTTTAGAGAAGACATGAGACAGCAAATCCAAGAATTGAAAGTATATTTTGAAAACCAACTAAACAAACAAATTCAAACTGCAAAGAACGAGCTTTACCAGGAGATAGAGATCTTTAAAAAAAAAACCAAACAGTGATTTTAGAAATTCAAGAAACCATAAACCAGATTAAAAATGCTAACGAGAATATTACAAATAGACTAGATCAAGTAGAAGTCAGAACATCAGATAATGAAGACAAAGTTTATCAACTTGAAAAGAATATAGTCAATACTGAAAAGATGCTTAAATCTCACGAGCAATCTATTCAAGAGATATGCATCTCATCAAAAAACCAAATTTGAGAGTCATTGGGATAGAAGAAGGCACAGAGATTCAAGCCAAAGGAATGGACAACCTATTGAATGGAATAATCCTAGAAAACTTCCCAGAGATGAAAGATGGAATGGATTGCCAAATCCTGGAAGCCTACAGGACCCCAAACATCCAAAACTGTAATAGGCCAACTCCAAGACATATAATTATGAAGATAGCCAACATACAGAACAAGGAGAGAATATTAAAAGCTACGAGGGAAAGGAGGCAGATTACATTCAGGGGTAAACCAATTAGGTTAATGACTGATTTTTCATCACAGACTTTGAAAGCGAGAAGATCCTGGAACAATGTATTTCAAATGCTGAAAAATAATGGATTCCAACCAAGAATACTGTATCCAGCAAAATTAAGCTTCAGATTTGACAATGAAATTAAAATCTTTCACGATAAACAAAAGCTAAAAGAATTCGCAGCCAGAAAACCAGCACTGCAAAGCATTTTGGGCAAAATTCTACAAGAAGAGGAATGGAAAAACAGTGCCCAAAACCAACAGTGGGAGGTATCTCAGTAAAGGGGGAGGAAAACAACCAAAGAGTAAAAACTGGCCAAACTAAAATAAATAAATAAATAAACATGACTGGAAGTACAAATCATATTTCAATTGTAACCTTAAATGTTAATGGAATAAACTCACCAATCAAGAGACACAGGCTGGTAACCTGGATCAAAAAAACAAATCCAACAATATGCTGCCTTCAGGAGACTCATATGATAGGAAAAGACATACACAGGATGAAGGTAAAAGGTTGGGAAAAATCATACCACTCACATGGCCCTTGGAAGCAAGCAGGAGTGGCCATACTTATATTGAATAAAATCAACTACAAACCTAAGTTAATCAAAAGGGATAAAGAAGGAAACTATATCCTGTTAAAAGGAACTATTCACCAACAAGACATAACAATTATCAATTTATATGCACCAAATAATGGTGCAGCAATGTTCATAAAACAAACTCTCCTCAAGTTCAAGAGTCAAATTGACCACAACACAATAATTATGGGTGACTTCAACACACCGCTCTCGCCATTAGACAGATCCTCCAGACAAAAGCTGAATAAAGAAACTATAGAACTCAATGACACAATCAATAACCTAGACTTAACCGACATATATAGAATATATCAACCATCATCAAGTGGATACACGTTCTTCTCAGCAGCACATGGATCTTACTCAAAGATACACCATATATTATGCCATAGGGCAACTCTTAGTAAATATAAAGGAGTGGAGATAATACCATGCACCATATCTGATCATAATGGAATGAAACTGGAAATCAATGAAAAAAGAAGGAAGGAAAAATCCTGCATCACATGGAAAATAAACAATATGTTACTGAATGATCAATGGGTTACAGAAGACATAAAGGAGGAAATCAAAAAATTCTTAGAGATAAACGACAATTCAGACACAACATACCGGAATCTATGGGACACAATGAAAGCAGTTTTAAGAGGGAAATTCATTTCCTGGAGTTCATTCCTCAAAAAAAGAAAAAACCAACAAATAAACGAACTCACACTACATCTCAAAACCCTAGAAAAGGAAGAGCAAAACAACAGCAAATATAGCAGAAGACAAGAAATAATTAAAATCAGAGCAGAAATCAATGAAATTGAAACAAAAAAAACCATTGAAAAATTGATAAAAATAAAAGTTGGTTCTTTGAAAAAATAAATAAGATCGACAGACCCTTAGCCATGCTAACGAAGAGAAGAAGAGAGAAAACTCAAATCACTAACATACGGGATGAAAAAGGCAATATCACAACAGACACTACAGAAATACAGAAGATAATTAGAAAGTATTTTGAAACCCTATATTCTAATAAAATAGAAGACAGTGAAGACATCGATAAATTTCTTAAGTCATATGAGCTGCCCAGATTGAGTCAGGAAGACACACACAATTTAAACAGACCAATAACAAAGGAAGAAATAGAAGAAGCCATCAAAAGACTGCCAACCACAAAAAGCCCTGGACCAGATGGGTATACAGCGGAGTTTTACAAAACCTTCAAAGAAGAATTAATACCAATACTTTTCAAGCTATTTCAAGAAATAGAAAAAGAAGGAGCTCTTCCAAATTCATTCTATGAGGCCAACATCACCCTGATCCCGAAACCAGACAAAGACTCTTCAAAGAAAGAAAACTACAGACCAATAACTCTAATTAACATAGATGCAAAAATTCTCAATAAAATCCTGGCGAATCGAACACAAAAGCATATCAAAAAAATTGTGCACCATGATCAAGTAGGATTCATCCCTGGGATGCAAGGTTGGTTCAATATACGGAAATCAATAAATATTATTCACCACATCAATAGACTTAAAGATAAGAACCATATGATCATCTCGATAGATGCAGAAAAAGCATTCGACAAAGTACAGCATCCCTTTATGTTCAAAACACTAGAAAAACTGGGGATAACAGGAACTTACCTCAACATTGTAAAAGCTATATATGCTAAGCCTCAGGCTAGCATCATTCTAAATGGAGAAAAACTGAAGGCATTCCCTCTAAAATCTGGAACAAGACAGGGATGCCCTCTCTCACCACTTCTATTTAATTTAGTCCTTGAAATACTAGCCAGAGGAATTAGACAGACAAAAGAAATTAAAGGCATAAAAATAGGAAAAGAAGAACTTAAAATATCACTATTTGTGGACGATATGATCCTATACTTAGAAGACCCAAAAGGGTCTACAAAGAAACTACTAGAACTAATAAATGAATTCAGCAAAGTGGCAGGATATAAAATCAACACGCATAAATCAAAGGCATTCCTGTATATCAGTAACAAAACTTCTGAAATGGAAATGAGGAAAACCACCCCATTCACAATATCCTCAAAAAAATAAAATACTTGGGAATCAACCTAACAAAAGAGGTGAAAGATTTATACAATGAAAACTACAGAACCCTAAAGAGAGAGATAGAAGATGATCTTAGAAGATGGAAAAATGTACCCTGTTCATGGATAGGCAGAACTAACATCATCAAAATGGCGATATTACCCAAAGTTCTCTACAGGTTCAATGCAATGCCAATCAAAATCCCAACGGCATTTCTGGTAGAAATAGATAAAGCTATCATGAAATTCATATGGAAAAACAAAAGACCCAGAAGAGAAAAAGCAATTCTAAGCAGGAAGTGTGAATCTGGAGGTATAGCGATACCAGATTTCAAACTGTACTACAGAGCAATAGTAACAAAAACAGCATGGTACTGGTACCAAAACAGGCAGGTGGACCAATGGTACAGAATAGAGGACACAGAGACCAATCCACAAAATTACAACTTTCTTATATTTGATAAAGGCGCTAAAAGCATGCAATGGAGAAAGGATAGCATCTTCAACAAATGGTGCTGGGAAAACTGGAAATCCATATGCAACAAAATGAAGCTGAACCCCTTTCTCTCGCCATGCACAAAAGTTAATTCAAAATGGATCAAGGAGCTAGATATAAAATCAGAGACTCTGCACCTGATAGAAGAAAAAGTTGGCTCCGATCTACACATTGTGGGGTCGGGCTCCAAATTCCTTAATAGGACGCCCATAGCACAAAAGTTAATAACTAGAATCAACAAATGGGACTTACTCAAACTAAAAAGTTTTTTCTCAGCAAGAGAAACAAAAAGAGAGGTAAATAGGGAACCTACATCATGGGAACAAATCTTTACTCCTCACACTTCAGATAGAGCCCTAATATCCAGAATATACAAAGAACTCAAAAAATTAAACAACAAGATAACAAACAACCCAATCAACAAATGGGCCAAGGACCTGAACAGACACTTCTCAGAGGAGGACATACAATCTATCAATAAGTACATGAAAAAATGCTCACCATCTCTAGCAGTCAGAGAAATGCAAATCAAAACCACCCTAAGATACCATCTCACTCCGGTAAGATTGGCAGCCATTATGAAGTCAAGCAACAATAAGTGCTGGCGAGGATGTGGGGAAAAGGGTACACTTGTACATTGCTGGTGGAACTGCAAACTGGTGCGGCCAATATGGAAAGCAGTATGGAGATTCCTAGGAAAGCTGGGAATGGAACCACCATTTGACCCAGCTATTGCCCTTCTCGGTCTATTCCCTGAGGACCTTAAAAGAGCATACTATAGGGATACTGCCACATCAATGATCATGGCAGCACAATTCACAATAGCTAGACTTTGGAATCAACCCAGATGCCCTTCAATAGATGAATGGATTAAAAAACTGTGGCATTTATACACAATGGAGTATTACGCAGCACTAAAAAATGACAAAATCATGGATTTTGCAGGGAAATGGATGGCACTAGAGCAGATTATGCTAAGTGAAGCTAGCCAATCCTTAAAAAACAAATGCCAAATGTCTTCTTTGATATAAAGAGAGCAACTAAGATCAGAACAGGGAAGAAGAGCATGAGGAAAAGATTAACATTAAACAGAGACGAGTGGGGGGAGAGAAAGGGAGAGAGAAGGGAAACTATGGAAATGGAAGGAGACCCTCATTGTTACACAAAATTACATATAAGAGTTTGTGAGGGGAAAGGGGAAAAAAAAACAAGGGAGAGAATTAAACAACGGCAGATGGGGTAGAGAGGGAAGATGAGAGGGAAGGGGAGGGGGGATAGTATGGGATAGGAAAGGTAGCAGAATACAACAGTCATTAATATGGTATTATGTAAAAATGTGGATGTGTAACCTATGTGATTCTGCAACTTGTATTTGGGGTAAAAAATGGGAGTTCATAACCCATTTGAATCAAATGTATGGAAGATGATATGTCATGAGCTTTTTAATGTTTTGAACAACCAATTAAAAAAAAGAAAATAAGCATTATTCTCACTGCCATGTCCAGCCACAGTAATGATCATTAGGTAATATATAAAATAACCAAAAATATTTCCCAGTAGAAAAATGTGCAGATGTGGTAATAGTATCCCTGCTACTTGGTAGGCTGAGGTAGAAGGATCACACATTCAAGGTCACCTGGGCAATTTAGAGAGACACTGTCTTAAAATTAACAAAAAGGATTTTTGATAACTCAGTAGTGGAGTGCTCTTGGGTTCAATCCACAGTACTACTGCAAAAAAAGAAAGAAAGAAAGAAAAGAAAAATGTGAACTATAACATAGCTATTATCATGAGATATTGGCTGAAAAGAAAGCTTTCATTGTATTTCAAAAAAAAAAAAAGCAGTTTGATATGAGATTTATTATTCCAGATTCAAGTTCATTTTGACTTTGCTCTTCCATTTATAATCCTAAACTCAAAAGATTAAAACTCCACCTGCTTCTGGTCTGAATTCTTCCTTTTTCATCAGATGAGAAAAGCTGTGAAGTTATTTTCTTCTTCCAGGTTTGTCCCTTAATTGCTAATCTCCAGTCATTTGGTTTTTCTGTCTTTGGCTTTTAATTTTCCTCCTTTCATTAGCTTGGTTTAAAACTATGTGTTTTTTTACTCTACCTCCACCACCTCAAGCCTTTTTAAAATAAATACTTCAAATCGTCTGTAAATAAATCAATAACATCTTTTTTGATCAAGGGAGATTAGTTACAAGTCTTTTTTACAAAGTCTCAATTCCTAGAAATATTTGTTCACATAAACTCTTATTTTGCTATGAGCTTTGTTTAGCATATCAATTAGGTAAATTTGCTTAAACCTATTCAAAATGTCAAATGATTAGTAGAAAACAATCGGCAATTTGGTTGCTGTTCTTATTCTTATTTTTGATGCTATTGTCATTGTAATTTTACAAATAGAAAAGATAATCTCATAAATTCAGTAGTGTACAGTGATTAAAAGATGCAAATGAAATTGTAAAACTTATTTGATCATGCCATTTTTGACATCGTGGTTAAGGATCATATGATTAGACTTCAAATGGTATTATGTAAAATCAAATCATTACATCAAGAGAGATTCATTTAAAAATTAAACTAAGGCTAGTGATAAGGCACATGACACCAGAGCTGAAAGATGCTTAAAATCCCAGAGCTAAACAATATACTCTGTGTCAGTAAGGGGTTCACAGGGTTATTAGAAAAGCAAAAACAAGAAAGGAATAATAAACAAATACATAAAATACATTACAAACTTTAAAAAAAATGCTGTGCTATTGTACAACCTGTCAGCTTAACTGGTGCTTTAGAAGACTATTAAAACACCCTATATATAGTATTTACATCATAAACCTTATTTATTTACTTGTTTCTTATGTTGAATTGATATTATTTTTCTCTTTCCAAAACAAAGTATATTATATCTGGGTCCCTTCAATTTCAACTAATGACTAGGAGCAATAAAAGGGCTGGGGAAAAAATTACTATGGGTACTTAATTAGAAATAAATGTGCTTCAATATTTTACCATGTGGTAGGTACTTTTAATATAGAGAATATTTTTTTTTCCTTTTAAACAATACACAAAAGATATTTATGCCTTTGGTAGAATGACCTAAGTCACACTTTTCTAAAACATTTTAATAAATGTTTTGAGCTGGGGATATGGCTCAGTTATAGAGCACTAATGTAGCCTGCTTCAGGCCCTGTGTTTGAACCTCAGCACAGCAAAAATAAATAAATAAAGGAATAAATAGATAAATATTTTAAATGGTTATTCCTCCTAAGATGTTCCTAATTTCTACCTTTATTTATTATGATTCTATTTCCAGTCTCCCATTCAATATTTATCTATGATTAGTATTAGTCCCCACTTAGAAACAGGTAGGGATAGTTTCCAGCTCCATATGCAAGTGATTGCAACCAGGATCATTTTAGTGATCATGCAAACCATACAATATAAATTATATGAGAGACTCCAAGATGACGGCGAATAGAGTGCATCACACCCCATGTACCGCATCACTGTGCAGGTGAATAACTAGTTAGAGCGACAAAAAGCTATCTTGTTAGGAATTTACAGCAAAATAGGGGTGCACCGAAACCTAGAGGAAGAATTTCCAGCACTGAGGACCAGTTATTGAATCTCTAACACGAGCCAACTGTGTGACTGGAATTCCAGGCTGACTGATCTGCCGCCCGTCTCACGGCCCACCCCGTGGCTACAGATGGCGGGGCGCTGCTGAGAAGCGACCAGCAAGCAGAGAGAAACAGTGCTACAGATTCTGTGGAATCCTGACGGCTGTGCCCTCACTGAGCTTCGGGCTGAGTTTGGGATTTGAGACGGGGAAGGAAGCGGTCCAGTTCTATCTCCCACAACAGAAAGTCCACCAAGAAAGCCAGCAGCCACCATCTTGGAGAGCTGACATCACCACCGCCACTCTCCAACAGATTGCAACAATAAAACAGGTGTGTGTTACTCATCCCATCTCCCATACAGCAGGGAATTTGCATAAAATCTCTCCCAGGCTTTCCGGGGGAGGGATTATCAGAATGAGCCTGCATAGAGACACGGAGAAAGGTAGAGACACCTGACCTTCAACTCCCCCTCCCATCAGCAGTGAAAACGAAACCTGTCTAGCCAGCGCTGGGGGAGGGGCAAACAGAAAAAATCAAAACAATAGGGTGCCGGGGTTCCCAATAGCCACCCTCCACACCCAGCAAACTGCAAGCCCAGAGGACAGTTTGAACTGCCAATAGGCATCACACAGGGGAAGGCCGGGCTAGCAGGAGAAACCAGGGCTAGCAGGAGAAGCCAGGGGACGAGAGGCCAGGCCCTTGCGACTGGGCGGCTAGAGATCGCCTGCCCGCTGGCAACAGCCCGCCCACTGCCCACGCGATTGGGCAGCTAGAGACTGCCCACCCGCAGGCGACTGCCCGCAGCCCCCGTGACTGGGCGGCTGGAGACCGCCCGCCCACCAGCGACCGTGCGGCTAGACCCCGAGGTGTGGCACAGCAGGTACGGCGCAGAGACTCTAGGAAGAGGTTTTTAGCCAAGCCTTCATGAAGTAGCTAACCGGGAGCTGAAACCAACCAGAGACAGACCAGTCCCACCCCTCCCTTCGGACACCCCAGCAAGGAGCCTGGGGCCCGCCATAGCAGAGAGGTGACGTCACTGGAGCTCAGCCATCAGAATTCCTTCCCAGCGGAATCCACTTTAGCAGGCATAGTCTACCACCACAAAGGAGCAACAACAGAGATATACAAAACCAAAACAAATTTATAGGAGAGAGCAGAAACACAGCAATCAAACAGAGCTGGAAAGTAACGTGAACAACATGAAAAAACAAGGGAAAAAATGATTACAAACAATGCAGGACAACTTAAATCTACAGGAGGACCTAGAAGCATCAGAAACATGGATAGGGAAAGAACTCAAGGCATACCTAACTCAGATGGAATGGAATATTAGAGAAGACATGAGACAGAAAGTCCAAGCAATGAAAGTATATTTTGAAAACAAATTAAACAAACAAATTCAAATGGCAAAGAACGAGCTTTACCAGGAGATAGAGATCTTTAAAAAAATCAAACAGTAATCCTAGAAATGCAGGAAACTATAAACCAAATTAAAACTCAAACGAGAATATCACAAATAGATTAGATCAAGTAGAAGTCAGAACATCAGATAATGAAGACAAAGTTTATCAACTTGAAAAGAATATAGTCAACACAGAAAAGATGCATAAATCTCATGAGCAATCTATTCAAGAGATATGGGATATCATAAAAAAACAAATTTCAGAGTCATTGGGATAGAAGAAGGCATAGAGGTTCAAAGCAAAGGAATGGACAACCGATTAAATGAAATAATCCTAGAAAATTTCCCAGAGATGAAAGATGGAATGGATTGCCAAATCCTGGAAGCCTACAGGACCCCAAACATTCAAAACCATAATAGACCAACTCCAAGACATATAATTATGAAGATAGCCAACATACAGAACAAGGAGAGAATATTAAAAGCTACGAGGGAAAGGAGGCAGATTACATTCAGGGGTAAACCAATTAGGTTAATGACTGATTTTTCATCACAGACTTTGAAAGCGAGAAGATCCTGGAACAATGTATTTCAAACGCAGAAAAATAATGGATTCCAACCAAGAATGCTGTACCCAGCAAAATTAAGTTTCAGATTTGACAATGAAATTAAAATATTTCATGATAAACAAAAGCTAAAAGAATTCGCAGCCAGAAAACCAGCACTGCAAAGCATTTTGAGCAAAATACTACAAGAAGAGGAATTGAAAAATAGCGCCCAAAGCTAACAGTGGGAGGTATCTCAGTAAAGGGGGAGGAAAATAACCAAAGAGTAAAAACTAGCCAAACTAAAATAAATAAATAAATAAACGTGACTGGAAGTACAAACCATATTTCAATTGTAACCTTAAATGTTAATGGCCTAAATTCACCAATCAAGAGACATAGGCTAGTAACCTGGATCAAAAAAACAAATCCAACAATATGCTGCCTTCAGGAGACTCATATGATAGGAAAAGACATACACAGGCTGAAGGTGAAAGACTGGTAAAAATCATACCACTCACATGGCCCTTGGAAGCAAGCAGGATTGGCCATACTCATATCGAATAAAATCAACTTCAAACCTAAGTTAATCAAAAGGGATAAAGAAGGACACTATATCCTGTTAAAAGGAACCATCCACCAACAAGACATAACAATTATCAATTTGTATGCACCAAACAATGGTGCTGCAACGTTCATAAAACAAACTCTCCTCAAGTTCAAGAGTCAAATAGACCACAACACAATAATTATGGGTGACTTCAACACACCGCACTTGCCATTAGAAAGATCCTCTAGACAAAAGCTGAATAAAGAAACTATAGAACTCAATAGCACAATCAATAACCTAGACTTAACCGACATATATAGAATATATCAACCATCATCAAGTGGATACACATTCTTCTCAGCAGCATATGGATCCTACTCAAAGATAGACCATATATTATGCCATAGGGCAACTCTTAGTAAATATAAAGGAGTGGAGATAATACCATGCACCATATCTGATCATAATGGAATGAAACTGGAAATCAATGAAAAAAGAAGGAAGGAAAAATCCTGTATCACATGGAAAATGAACAATATGTTACTGAATGATCAATGGGTTACAGAAGACATAAAGGAGGAGATAAAAAAATTCTTAGAGATAAATGACAATAAAGACACAACATACCTGAATCTATGGGACACAATGAAAGCAGTTTTAAGAGGGAAATTCATTTCCTGGAGTTCATTCCTCAAAAAAAGAAAAAAACAACAACAAATAAAGGAACTCACACTACACCTCAAAACCCTAGAAAAGGCAGAGCAAAACAACAGCAAATGTAGTAGATGACAAGAAATAATTAAAATCAGAGCAGAAATCAATGAAATTGTAACAAAAAAAAACATTGAAAAAATTGATAAAAATAAAAGTTGGTTCTTTGAAAAAATAAATAAGATCAACAGGCCCTTAGCCATGCTAATGAAGAGAAGAAGAGAGAGAACTCAAATTACTAACATATGGGATGAAAAAGGCAATATCACAACAGACACTACAGAGATACAGAAGATAATTAGAAAGTATTTTAAAACCCTATATTCCAATAAAATAGAAGATAGTGAAGATATCGATAAATTTCTTAAGTCATACGATCTCCCCAGATTGAGTCAGGAAGACACACACAATTTAAACAGACCAATAACAAAGGAAGAAATAGAAGAAGCCATCAAAAGACTGCCAACCAAGAAAAGCCCTGGACCGGATGGGTATACAGCGGAGTTTTACAAACCCTCAAAGAAGAATTAATACCAATACTTTTCAAGCTATTTCAAGAAATAGAAAACGAAGGATCTCTTCCAAATTCATTCTATGAGGCCAACATCACCCTGATCTCGAAACCAGACAAAGACACTTCAAAGAAAGAAAACTACAGACCAATATCTCTAATGAACTTGGATGCAAAAATACTCTATAAAATCCTGGCGAATCGAATACAAAAGCATAACAAAAAAATTGTGCACCATGATCAAGTAGGATTCATCCCTGGGATGCAAGGCTTGTTCAATATATGGAAATCAATAAATGCTATTCACCACATCAATAGACTTAAAGATAAGAACCATATGATCATCTCGATAGATGCAGAAAAAGCATTCAACAAAGTACAGCATCCCTTTATGTTCAAAACAGTAGAAAAACTAGGGATAACAGGAACTTACCTCAACATTGTAAAAGCTATATATGCTAAACCTCAGGCTAGCATCATTCTAAATGGAGAAAAACTGAAGGCATTCCCTCTAAAATCTGGAACAAGACAGGGATGCCCTCTCTCGCCACTACTATTCAATTTAGTTCTTGAAATACTAGCCAGAGCAATTAGACAGACGAAAGAAATTAAAGGCATAAAAACAGGAAAAGAAGAACTTAAATTATCACTATTTGCGGGTGATATGATACTATATCTAACAGACCCAAAAGGGTCTACAAAGAAACTGCTAGAGTTAATAAATGAATTCACCAAAGTGGCAGGATATAAAATCAACACGAATAAATCAAAAGCATTCCTGTATATCAGCAACAAAATTTCTGAAGTGGAAATGAGGAAAACCACTCCATTCACAATATCCTCAAAGAAAATAAGATACTTGGGAATCAACCTAACAAAAGAGGTGAAAGATTCATACAATGAAAACTACAGAACCCTAAAGAGAGAGATAGAAGATGATCTAAGAAGATGGAAAAATGTACCCTGTTCATGGATAGGCAGAACTAACATCATCAAAATGGCGATTTACCCAAAGTTCTCTACAGGTTCAATGCAATGCCAATCAAAATCCCAACGGCATTTCTGGTAGAAATAGATAAAGCTATCATGAAATTCATATGGAAAAACAAAAGACCCAGAAGAGAAAAAGCAATTCTAAGCAGGAAGTGTGATCTGGAGGTATAGTGATACCAGAGTTCAAACTGTGCTACAAAGCAATAGTAACAAAAACAGCATGGTACTGGTACCAAAACAGGTGGGTGGACCAATGGTACAGATAGAGGACACAGAGACCAATCCACAAAATTACAACTTTCTAATATTTGATAAAGGGGCTTAAATCATGCAATGGAGGAAGGATAGCATCTTCAACAAATGGTGCTGGGAAAACTGGAAATCCATATGCAACAAAATGAAACTGAATCCCTTTCTCTCGCCATGCACAAAAGTTAACTCAAAATGGATCAAGGAGCTAGATATCAAATCAGAGACACTGCATCTGATAGAAGAAAAAGTTGGCTACGATCTACAGTCGGTGGGGTCGGGCTCCAAATTCCTTAATAGGACGCCCATAGCACAAAAGTTAATAACTAGAATCAACAAATGGGACTTACTTAAACTAAAAAGTTTTTTCTCAGCAAGAGAAACAATAAGAGAGATAAATAGAGAGCCTACATCCTGGGAACAAATTTTACCCCTCACACGTCAGATAGAGCCCTAATATCCAGAATATACAAATAACTCAAAAAATTAAACAATAAGATAACAAATAACCCAATCAACAAATGGGCCAAGGACCTGAACAGACACTTCTCAGAGCAGGACATACAGTCAATCAACAAGTACATGAAAAAATGCTCACCTTCTCTAGCAGTCAGAGAAATGCAAATCAAGATCACCCTAAGATACCACCATACTCCAGTAAGATTGGCAGCCATTATGAAGTCAAGCAACAATAAGTGTTGGCGAGGATGTGGGGAAAAGGGTACACTTGTACATGGCTTGTGGGACTGCAAATTGGTGAGCCCAATTTGGAAAGCAGTATGGGGATTCCTGGGAAAGCTGGGAATGGAGCCACCATTTGACCCAGCTATCGCCCTTCTCGGACTATTCCCTGAGGATCTTAAAAGAGCGTACTATAGGGATACTACCACATCAATGATCATAGCAGCACAATTCACAATAGCAAGACTGTGGAACCAACCTAGATGCCCTTTAATAGATGAATGGATTAAAAAAATGTGGCATTTATACACAATGGAGTATTATGAAGCACTAAAAAATGACAAAATCATGGAATTTGCAGGGAAATGTATGGCATCAGAGCAGATTATGCTAAGCGAAGCTAGCCAATCCTTAAAAAACAAATGCCAAATGCCTTCCTTGATATAAAGAGAGCAACTAGGGGCTGAGGATGTAGCTCAAGCGGTATCGCGCTCACCTGGCATGTGTGCGGCCCAGGTTCGATCCTCAGCACCACATACAAACAAAGATGTTGTGTCCGCAGAAAACTAAAAAAATAAATAAAAATTCTCTCTCTCTCTTAAAAAAGACAAACAAACAAAAAAAAAAACAGAGCAACTAAGCACAGAACAGGGTGGAAGAGCATGAGGAAAAGATTAACATTAAACAGAGACGAGTCGGGGGAGAGAAAGGGAGAGAGAAGGGAAATCATATGGAAATGGCAGGAGACCCTCAATGTTACACAAAATTACATATAAGAGGTTGTGAGGGGAAGGGGGGGAAACAAAGGAGAGAATTGAACAACAGCAGATGAGGTAGAGAGCGAAGATGGGAGGGGAGGGGAGGGGGGATAGTAGGGGATAGGAAAGGCAGCAGAATACAACAGTCACTAATATGCCATTATGGAAAAATGTGAATGTGTAACCGATGTGATTCTGCAATTTGTATTTGGGGTAAAAATGGGAGTTCATAACCCACTTCAGTCAAATGTATGAAAGATGATATGTCATGAGCTTTGTAATGTTTTGAAGAACCAATAAAAAAATAAAATAATAAATAAATAAATAAATTATATGAGGCTCTTCATTTAGAAGGGCCCTGAACTTGGTGTAATTCTCTGAGTCTAATGCCTTAAAATTCTTAATAATTTTATTATGAACTTAGGTTTATAATTAAAATCTGATGAATTAATGGATATATATATATATATATATATATATATATATATATATATATATATATATTTCCACTCCTCCTTGTCCTTGCTGCTCTATTTGCATCTGGTGCTTGCACAGAACTTGGAATACCAAAAATATCAATAATTCTTACTCAATGCTCAACTGAGTACACGCAAGCATGTTTTAGTCAGTTCAGTTGGTCATAACAGAATACCATAGGCCCGGTGGCTAAACAATAGCATTTAGTTGCTCAGAGTTTTGCAGTTTGGAATTTGAAGATCAGGGATTTCACAAGATCAGGTTTTGGTGAGGACTCTTTTTTTTTTTTTTTTGGCCTTTAAATTTCTGTTTTTTCACTATATCTTCACATGTGAGACAGAAGGATCTCTGGCATCCCTTCCTTTTCCTATAATAGGAACTACTCCCATAATAACTGTCCTACCCTCAGGACCTCATCTAAACCTCAATTGCCCCCAAAGACCCCATCTCCAAATGGCATCACAAGAATGATCAGTGCTTCAACACAAATCCTGAATGGAGCAGGGATTCAGTCCACAGAAGCTTGTTGCATCTGCAACTGACTGAGGACTGCCTACAGCCATTTAGGCTAAACCTTCTTTTCAAACCAGTCATGCTTTTTAATATAGAGAACATCATGGTTTCCTAAGAAGCATAGATGACTCTGAAACTTTATCGTATCCTTTTTACTTGTATTTCTGTCAATGTTAGCCAGTGTATGCTGAAAAGGACACAGAAGGAAAGAGAAAGACAAACCCACAGTTCAATTTCCTTCAATTTTTTATTATTCCTCCATAAATCAAAGTTAGAGGTGTTGGTAGCATGTGTACATGTCAAAATGCAAAATAAGAACAGTATAAATTAGGTTCATTCAACAATTTTATTCTTCTTTCAAAAACCATGTCTGTGTACATATAAGCAAGAAACTTCAAATAGTGGATTTCAGGATTCTATATTTGTGGCCAGTATTTAATTATCTGTGTTTGAAACTGGTGTTGCCCAACAAAAAGATAAACAGTTAAACTTCATTCTAGAAACTAAAAAGTTTAGTTTTTTTTAATTTAATACAGTAATCATATCAAGTAAAAAATAACCCAAGAGGTCAAGACATTTTCTTTTAGCACCCTGAAAGATACTTTGTTTTAAAGAAAGGAAACAACGAATTTTGTACCTGGTCCCGATCATGTTGTTCTGAGAAGACTCTGGTCATTTGGGGTGAATATGGAGTGACAAGTACCAACCTGTTTTGCAGGAAAGATGCAACAGTGTCATAAATGTCGCAACCCCTCGCCGGCAAGGGAAAACACGACACAGGATTCTTCTTTCAGCAGTTTATTCAGGCCTTGTTTCATGTATCATCTTCTAGTGACCCCCCGCGGAGCGCCCAAGCACAGCCTAATAAAGCCTCCCGCATAGCAATCCCAAGCTGCCATGTGGATCTCTCTCATAGGGTGGGAAGGGATTGCACGCCAACTCTCCAAAAAAGGAGTTGTTTATCACAGGCCACAGTGGAAGCCGGCGCCATCTTCTAATGGCGGCCAAGGTCTATAAGAATGGCTTACCACACATAAACATTTAATTGAAGGATAAATTCTCTGTTCTAGATCCATTGAAGGGGAAAGAGAATTGGTGCAGAAGCCAAGTCCTTAACTGAAAGTTACAATCAAAGGTTAGTTAATCAAGCACTAACTTCAGGGCTTCATTGATGGAGACCAGTCTGCATGACTAAAATGTTGTAAAAAATTGGTGGCATCAGGGGAACTAGCTTCTGTGTGTGAAGATGACCAACACTTAAACTGGCCCTTGTTATGCTTCAGATGCTATATATGAATAAGGAGTCAAAGGAAATTTTTTACTGTGTTTTAGCTGTTGAAATGAAGATATGCCTGCTCTATCTTCTCCCTAATGTCCATTTATAGACAGCAAAGCACAAAGGTATATTCAATGTGAGTTATAATTCACAACATGTGGTAGTGGTTAATATTCAGAAATTACCACCAGTAATAAGAACAGTGTCACTTTGGGATAGAAAGGGTACAACTTTACAGAAGAGGAAAATCGTCCACTTTCTTCTTGTCTCTGAAGAAATATACTTCACAAAAGTTGTAAACAAATGCCAAATATTTTGTCTGATATAAGGAGGCTGACTCATAGTGGGGTAGGGAGGGGGATCATGGGAGCAATAGATGAATTCTAGATAGGGCAGAGGGGCGGGAGGGGAAAGGAGAGGGCAGGGGATTAGCAAGGATGGTGGAATGTGATGTACATCATTATCCAAAGAACATGTATGAAGACACGAATTGGGTGTCAACATACTTTATATATAAACAGAGACATGAAAAATTGTGGTATATATGTGTAATAAGAATTGTAATGCAAAAAACAAGTATATGTATAAAGACATGAATTTCATGAACATACTTTATATACAAAGATAGGAAAAACTGTGCTCTACATGTGTAATAAGAATTGTAATGCATTCCACTGTCGTGTATTTAAAAAAATAAAATCAATTAAATAAAAAAAGATTCCACTTACATATATTAAGGATTAAATTTTCAAGTCATTTGTGGTATCACTTATGTTCTTCCATATATCAAGGGTCCACCGATGATGACCAATATGTTTCTTTCCTTTCACAAAATCCAATTTTCCTTATTAAAGTTTACCCTGTCACAGATGAATCTCAAAGTTACAATGGTGATATTTCAATGGCTCCTTTCATATTTTGAAGCAAAATGATGTTGAAATGAATAGATTGGTGTGATATTTGATGCTTTATTCCCCATTTTCAATTGGGGGCAGATAGTTTTCTGAAATATTGGAACAAAAGAATGAGAACTACCAATATGACAAGAACAAATAAAAGAGTGTAAATTTCTCCTGCAAGTGGCAAGTTCCATCCTATAAAAATATGGTTTGCTATTGTAGGGCAATAAGAACTCTAGAGTACTTTTTATATACTGTACTTTTAGGGCAATTGTAGAAACACTGATTTCTGACTAAAAGTACTTTTTAAAGGACTGACACAGTGTATAGAAAATTGAACATTTGCCTGTCCTTTATAAGGTAGTTTAGAGAAGGTTTTTATTATTTTTTAAATGGGACAACTTTTCCAGCTTTTAGGTAGCCCTCTATAGCAAATATTTAAATTATGTAATCCTCTGCAGAGACTCTGCTCTAGTCTTGTATCTAAAGATTTAGATTTTCCTAATGGTTAAGAATTTGGTGTTGGTGTTAAGGAGCCTGGCTTTAAATCCTGGATTTGCATTTTCCAGCTGTGTGCTCTCAAAGTATTGTTTAAGACTCAGTTTTCTAAAAATATTAACAAATTATTGATAGTTGTCTGAGAAAGCATTACTAGATTAAGGGACACTGTGTTAGTCAGCTATCCATCTCTGTGATGAAATACCTGAGATAATCAACTTAAAGGAGAAAAGGTTTACTTTCACTTAGGGGTTCAAAAGTTTCAGTCCATGTTCACTTAGCCACATCACTTTAAATCTGTGGTGGCAGAATACATCATGGTAGAGAACGTAGAGCATATGGCAGAGAAGGTCTCTTCACTTCATGGTGGCCAAGAAGTAGAAAGAGGGGAGAGGTCAGGGCTCCCATATCTCCTTCAAAAACATGCCCGCACTGACTTCACTTCCTTTCACTAGGCTGTTGCTCATAAAGGCACTGCCACCCCTAATAATAATATGTCGCAAGCTGAAGACCAAGCCTTTGATGCATGGGTCTTTGGGTAACACTACAAATCCAAACTATAAAAGATATTACAATGAATGACATTAATCTATTAAAATGTTGTTCATGTAAGAAGATCTTATGCTGTAATTAATGTTCTCATTTCTCCTGTCATTTTCTTTATATATCCTTAAGCAAATTCTATATAGATGGAAATCGAGAGAAAATATAAATCAGTAGCTTATTACTACCCTTTCTGTAATAGAAGAATAAAAATTTGAAAAGATTTTGAAATTGTCCTATCCCTCAAATTTCCATCAGAAAGTAGCAGTTTCTTTATTTTGAATATTTGCAAGCATATCTTAGGGATATTATTATAGGCTTAGTTGCAGAACACCATAATTAAACAAATCTTGTAATAAAGTGAGTCATATGAAGTTTCTGATTTCTCAGTGCACATAAATAAAAACCAGGGCAATAACTTTATATCTAAAAAATTCTGTTGCTTAATTGAAAAATACTTTGCTAAAAATGCTAAAGATCATCTCAGCTTTCAGCAGGGTCTTAGCCTCCATGCTAATGGCTGCTGACTGAAGGCTGGAAAGGATGTGGTAGTGCCCTAAAACAAAACAGTGATGTTTCTTCCTTTCTCACAAAACTGTTCTCTGTAGAATGCAATGCTGTTGATAGCATTTTACCCACAATAGAACTTTGCTATAGTTAGAAGGGTGTTTTGACTATATGAAAATCTGTTGTTAAATGTAGTTACACTCATCAATTATTTTAGATAGACCTTTTGAATAAATTGCTGCAGCTTATACTTCCACTTTTGCTACTTCAACCATTTCCCTCTCTCTTTATGTATACACATAATCAAAAATAGGGATACTTGTTTCCTTAAACTTCATGAACCAACTTCTGTTAGCTTTGCATTCTTCTTCTGCAATTGCCTTGCCTCTATCAGCCTCCAAAGAATTCAAGAAAGTTAGACAGGGCACAGTGGCACCTGCCTGTAGTCTCAGTGGCTCTGGAGGCCCAGGCTAGAAGACTGCAAGTTCAAAGCTAGCCTCAACAACTTAGTGAGGCCCTAAGTACCTTAGTGAAACCCATCAAAATAAAAAAATAAAAAATAAAAAAGGCTGGGGATGTGGTTCCAGTGTTTAAGCACCCTTGGGTTCAATCCCCGACACTGAGAAAATAAAAAAATAAGTTAGGATTTTGCTGTTATTAGACTTTGCCTAAAGGAAATTATGGTATCTGGTTTGGTTTTCTATCCAGACTACTAGAACTTTATTCAGATCAATAATAACACTGTTGTCCTTTCTTGTTATTTGTGTGCTCACTGAAGTAATGTTTTTAACTTCGTTCAAAAACTTTGCTTTGCTTTCACAACTCAGCTGCTGGGCATAAGAGGCCCCTCTTCAGCCAGTCTAGGCTTTTGACATGCCTTTTCTACTAAGCTTAATCATGTCTAACTTTTGATTTAAAGAATGAAAATCATGGCTCTTCCTTTCACTTGTACACTCATTTAGAGGACACGGTAGGGTTATTCACAGCCTACTTTCAATATTGTTGTAGCTCAGGGAATAGGAAACTCTGAGGAAAAGGAAATAGACTGGAGAACAGTAGATTGATGGTGCCTGAGAACACACCCTGTCTTGATGGATCAAATTCACTGTCTTATATTGGGATGCTTTGTGGCACCCAGGACAGTTACAATAGTAACATTGAAGATCACTAATCACAGATCACCTTAACATATAACAATGATGAGAATAGTTAGCAAGTTATTAAAATGACCAAAATGTGACATAGATGAAACAAACAAGTTATTGAAAAATGGTGTAAATTGCTCAATGCCAGATTGCCATGAATTTTCAATTTGTAAAAAAAAAAAAAACACAAAACACCATATCTATGATGCATAATAATGTGAAGCAAAATAAAATGTGCATGTGGAACCCTTATCTGTGATCTTCACTTATGATTTAAGATACTGATAAATTTATACATCATGTATAACCAGAAGAATGAGAAATTATACTCCATCATACACGATGTATCAAAGTGCATTCTACTGTCCTGTATAACTAATTAAAACAAAAAATTAAAAATTATATTTTAATAACTAATTAAGCACAGGATATGAATGAAAGAGACTGAAAAGATGTTTATTGCCCAGTCAGTGACTGAACTTAGTATTTTATTTCATCCTTTTGGGTACACCTCAATATTATAATATTAGATATGGTTGTATTATTAATAACAGTGACTAATATTTATTAAGCACTTATAGCATTATAGACATTTTTTGATGGTGCTGGGGATTGAACCCAAGGCCTTGTGCATGCGAGGCATGCACTCTATCACCTGAGCCATATCCCTAGACCAATAGACATTCTTCTCAGTGATTTTTTTTATGTATTAGAGTCCTTCATTTTTCACTACAACCCTTAGGAAAGTTTTTTTTTTCCTAGAAAAATTATTTTATTTAGCTATCATGTGCATCTCCAATAGCTTATAATATAAATTTCCTGGTCTGAACTGTATGTTACTTTCTTTTAGAATGTTCCTTTTTTCTTTAAAATAATCTCCAACCTACTCCATGTGCTTGATTTTTCTAATCACTCAGAAATGAGTTTTTGAAAGTCCAAAAGTCACCAGCTCCATGAAGTGGTGAGCTGGTTCTTGTTTTGGTAAACCATCTAAGTGTTTATACAGAGATATATGTTCATTAAATTCTCAACCATCATCATCAAATCCTGCTTCCCACTTAATTGGTAACTCTCACAGTTTCCCCTTTTCATTCACTCTTCAGACCCAATCTGAAAGGGTTGTTCATTTACTGTGGTTAGTTGTTTAGCAAATTTCACATCCCAAAGAGAAGACAGTGTCTCTGTTTCAAGTGCTTTTTCAGTAAATGCCTCACTGTCAAAAAGATTGTCTCCTCTTGAATAAATTTTTCATAATAATTTGTTGTTGTTGTTGTTGTTTTCTTTTGTTTTTAAGATCAGCTGTCTAGCTCTCTTTTCCTGGCCACAATAATCTGATGCTCTAGTCTTGTACTAACTCTAACTGTAGCAGATTGGGTAACTTTCATATCTGATATTAGGTTGTTGAAACTAATTTTAGGTTTCTCTCCATCTTGCTGTGCCCGCGAGTTTTTCTCATGCTGCCAGAACTATCCAAGCAGCTCTGACTTGGTTATCTACTTGTCAAAAGGGACAGAATCTGTCACAGCCACCACCAACTTAGGGCACGGTACTCGTTTTGCTTCCTTGGAGCATCTCCTAAAGTTCTACTAAGCCAGTTGCAACCTCCAAACCTTTAAGTGGTTTTCTGCCAGGTGGCTTTGTTATGTGAACATTTATAAACTTTCATGTCCTTAATTCCTAAACAATTCTTCTTTTATATTCTTTTCCTCTGTTTGGCTTCTCTGAGGTCTTCTTGGGAATTTCACCAATTGGAACACACTGCTCATCTTTCTTGTTAAATATCACCCTGCTAAGTGCCAAAATGTCTTTCAATATTACCTTTTGTTCTGACCTTTCAGAGAAGAGCATCAAGTAGCACAATCACAGCCACTGATGCCTCCTGTCCTCTAGAGGACAAAGGGAGACAGATAAGAATGCAGAGACTTTATGGAACATTGCAGAAAAACAATCTAGGAATGATGCTTAAGCAAGTTTTACTATTATCATTCCTAGTTTACAGAGAAAGAATTTAAAGCAAAAGGAAGTAAAGCTTCTTGCTAAATTTCACAAAGTTAATACATAGTAGATTCAGAATAGAGACCCAGGCATTGTTGATCCAAGATAGGCCTTACACTGTAGAGTCAGTTCAATTTATGATAAATATCATGTCAGAGTGCAGATATGTCTGTGTGTACGTTTGTGTAAACTGAAAAAATCAAAGGAAAAGAAATTTGAATCAGTGATAAATCCATGGAGGAAATGCATTTTTGAAGGAACACTAAGATTCTGAAATGGCAAAAAGAATACTCAGAAAAGTTTTTTCTTTGTATTAAATCAAGTTTTTAAGCTTCTAAAAAGTAGGTACAACAAAAATTTATGTAGTATCTCTTGTGTCTATTTTAAAAATGTAATTCTCATTTGATTAAGTGATGCTCCTTTAAAATTCCTATATCATGAAAATTTCACAGATAAACTAATAATATTCAATACAAAATTTAGATATGCATCTTTGCTAATGGACATGAGATATATTCATTAGACTAGTTCTCTTTATTATCTTTTGTGATTATTAAAATCTTTCTATCATCATAATACAATTTAGGTACCCAGAAAAAGCCTCTCCCACCCAAATAATTAAGAAAGGGTAGGGTTAGGCAAGACAAGACTTACAAAAAGGTAAGACTTATAAAATGCTTAATTTGTTGATACTTTATCTTTAATGCTCTTAATCTTTTCTTTCTAACCCATCTTCTTATCTATAGGGATTCTTTTCTCATCCTTTCTTGTTTCTTCTTCTGAGATCCAATCAAATATATGCACAATAAATATCTCAATAATAGCCCCTAATGATTCAGCTTCCATTTAAGTCAGTTTTACCTTTTCTGAAGGCTTATCAGTTTAAGACTCCTCTCTCAGTGGAGGCATTGAGAGTCAGGTATTTGAAGGATGCTTCTCCAGGAGAATTTGCTTGATGTCTTTCTAATGCTCCTACTAGGGTTTGGGTATTCAAAGGCAGACAACATAGGTGAAGTGTCGTGCTCATCACACAACTCCAAATGTCTCTACTATCAACACAATATATCTCTGTCAGTGCTGACCTTTACCACTCTGTTGAGTTAATGTTTATCAGATCACTCTTTTCTCTGCTTTTCCACATTATATTCTTTGGATAGAAGTCTCTATGTACATCCTACACTAATGGGGGTGGGGCAAGGTGGATGCATGCTCACCTCCTTGAGGGCAGAGTTTCTACATAAATTATCTGGGATTTTTCTGCATAGCTGATTTGTTTCTTATATTTATTTACTTATTTAGTCCATCGTTTATTTATATCAGTACAGAATATTGGGTATTTACTTTGTGTTTTA